TGAGGGCAGGCAGAGGGTGATGAGTGAGCAGGAAGCCCCAAAAGAGCTGTTCTTTTAAGGCATTCCATGAAAAGTGATGTTCTGATCCGTGTAATTGCATTTCTATGTCAAGCCCAGGAAACTAAAACACGGGACACCAGGACAGACCCCCCAGGCTCCACTGGCCTCTTGCCCTTTCTGCTCCCAGTTTTCCTCAAAGAAACAGGAAGACTTGGAAGCAGTCTCTGGATTCTCATGGATGTGCACTAGCAGGAGTCCGATCATCGAATTCCGTCTCCACTCATTCCCACCACCACCACCAAATCCCCCTTATGGCCCAGCATGGGGGACGAGGGGCAATCCCAGCTGTCCTGGGGTCACCTCACTGCCTCACCTCCAGTGTTCTATATTCCTTCATCCAAGGAAAACAGGGAAATGTTCCAGACCTCTTTCTGCAGGGCGACACTTCCTCCTCACAGGCACCAAGTGCTCCATAATCAAAATCACCAGGAGTGTCACCAACACCAGGAACATGGGAACAGGTTGTCCAGAGAAGTTGTGGATGACAGAGGGAGGGTTTAGATGGGATATTGGGAAGAAATCCTTCCCTGGGAAGGTGGCGAGGATTGGATTTCCCAGAGAAGCTGTAGCTGCCCCATCTCTGGAATGTCCAAGACCAGGTTGGCTGGGACTTGGAGCAACCTGGGATAGTGGAAGGTGTCCCTGCCCATGTGCAACTGGATGATCCTTAAGGTCCCTTCCCACCCAAACCATTCCAGGATTCCATGATCACATATATCCAAACATTCCCATAGGCAAAACCATCCACTCCTGGTCACTCTGAACTCAGAGTGCACACACAACCCAGCAACCCCTGCACGGACACACGGCTGCTCCACAGACAATATTCCCAGTGTTCCAGCCACTTGTGCTCCATGAGTACCTGTGGAGCTGCTGGATAACCTTCATGGAAACCTTTCCCTTCTGCTGAACCAACTCTTGTCTTTCCCAGCTCCATCTTGACCCCAAACCCGCTCAGCTCACTCTCCTTTCTCTGCTCCTTTCCCGAATTCCCGCTTCCCAGCCCCCGCCGGCCCCGCTCCGAACATCCTTCCCGCTGTACATTCTTCCCTGAGCCCTTATCTCATAAATTAGCCTGGAGAGGGATCCCAAATAGCTGAGCCGTGGCGTAAGCGTTTCCCTGAGGCAGGGGCGGGCGGGAGCAAGGGAAAGGTTGGGAGCAGGATGCCAGCCAAGGGTCAGACGCTGTCAACTCCCTCCTTCTCCTTTGAATCCAAACACAAACGCTCCAGGAACACTCCCAAACCCATGGAAATCTCCTTCCCCTCCCCTGCCAGAACCCCCCAGCATCCAATGCTCGCTGCTCCAGGATTTTTGCCTCAGCTCTCCTCAGCAGGATGGTCCTGGGCACCTCCAAACACATGGATCAGCTGTGCTAACACAAACCATGGAGTTTGGGAAGATTCCTGAGTGGGAGGGGATGATCCATGAGGATCATCCAAGTCCAACTCCTGGCCCTGCATAGGACAACCTCAAAAATTCCACCATGTGCCTGAGGACAACAATCTTCCCAACACAGGAGAAGCCCAGCTTGAGGACACTCAATATGGAAAGGCAGGAGTGCATTCCCAGCACCTTCATCCCAGGAAAGCCTAAAGTAATTCCCAATACATCTTTTCCCTCAGGGACTTTTCCCTAGCCCATCCCAAATACCAGAGCAAAGCCTGGGATCCTTCCCATCACTTTTCTGCTTCTCCATCCTCACACACCTCAGATCTCACCCTCAAAGAGCAGACAGCCACATTCCAGGGAAATAAGGATCTCTGGGAAAACAAGGATATCCAGGGAAACACGGATATCCATGGAAGTAAACATATCCAGGAAAACAAGGATATCTAGGGACACAAGGATACCCAGGAAAACAAAGGGTACCCAGGAAAACAAAGACATCCATGGAAATAAATATATCCAGGAAAACAAGGATGCCTAGGAAACAAAAATACACAAGGAAATAAGGATATCCAGGAAAACAAGGACATCCAGGAAAACAAAGGATATCCAGGAAAACAAGGATACCCAGGAAAACAAAGGATACCCAGGAAAACAAAGGATACCCAGGAAAACAAGAATAGCCAAGGAAATAAGGAAATCCTGCCCAAGCAAACATCAAGGAAAACTTAGGAAAATCCAGGTCCATCTCTCACAGCTGAGAAAACCGAGGGCACCCAACTTGAGATTTTGGGAGCATTTGCTTCCCAAAACAAGCCTGGCTCTGCAGATGGGACCAGCCAAATTCCAGGATTTGGAATGACCACAGGCACCAGTTCTTCCCCAGTTCCACCAGCACAGCCCCCACTCCCAAAGGTCTCCATGAGGAGCCCGGTTAATCCTTGTCTGACACTGGGACATACCAAGGGCTCAGGGATTCTGCCTAAATTTTCTATGATTGCTTACAGCAGGCTCAGATCCCGGGAAAATCAGAGTCAAGCAAAGGAATGAGAATTCCCAAGTTATTCCAGGCTTCTCAGCCTGCAGGAAGAAATCTCTTCAGGGGTGGGATGATCCGTAAGGAGAAGAAAATATTTCACTCCAAGCGAAAAACAGGTTGGAAAACGATTTCCTGATGATGGGAATTCAGTGATAAATTTTAAAGGAATGATGGGATAATTAATTTAGTCCTGTAAATTATTAAATTCTAACAGATCTATTGTTTACCACATCCAAAAACCATTCATTCCTCGGGAGGGCCAGATTCCAGAGTAAATCCAACTCCATGCCATGATTTAAGGCCCTGACCTTCACTCCCAAAAAACCAGAGGATCACTTTGGCCTCAGGATTCCTCAGAGCACAACAATTAAACCTGGCACAAGAAGGAAAAACTGAGCAGCAATTCCTGGTGGCAAAACTTTCTTCTCTTCCCTTCTCCCCCTCCAGCTCCGTGTCGGAACAGATGCTCTGGAATAACAGCAGGAAAGGGATCGAGCTGCCCAAACAAAGTCGTGCTCCATGGAATATTTGGCTCAGAGAGGTTTTAAGAAGGATTTTATAGCTGAGGGTAAGAAATATCCTTCAGGCACAGTTTCCTTGATCCTGGATTTTTACAGGGACAGGATGGTTTTGATTCAAGAGAAAAAGAAAGAAGGAGAAGGAGATTAAAAAAGGGAAAAAGGAAGAGGAAAAAGGGAGAAAGGAGGAGGAAAAACAGGGAGAAAAGGAAGAAAAATGAAAGGAGGAAAATAGAGAAGAAAAATCCCAGGATGGCTGAGGTTGTCAGGGATCTCTTGGAGTCATCTTGCTCAAGCAGGATCACCCCCAGCACCCAGAAAGAACAGGAAAACAGTAAAAGAAAGAAATCTCTACGTTATAATAAAGATGTTCTGGGGAGAGGGAGAAATTCCATGTCTCCAGCTGAAGAGACAGAGAGCTGGTCCATAAATAACATTGGGATGCTGAGCCAGAGCTCTGCAGGACTCCTGGGAGGTGCTCAGCACCCCCAGGATGGGAAGTGGGAGAGGAGGATTTAGGAGTTTGGCCCAAGTGAAATCCTAAAACCAAAGGAAACCCCAGAAGGCTGCAGGGAACATGGGCTGGGAGCGGCCGATAAGAACCCTCGTGGTGAGGCTTCCCATCCTTGCTAATCCTGGGGCTCCTGGGAATCTGGGATCATGGCTGGAACTAACAGGGGGTGCATCTTCCTCTGAAGAAGAGATGCCTTGCTGAGAGGACACACGGATGCCAGGAGAGGGGGAAGCAAGGAGGAAGCAGCTTGAGCTTCCACTCGCTCCCAAGAGCATCTTCTGTTCCCACTTTCCAGGATAAATCTTTCTACCAACCAAAGAATCCACAGGGACACCACTGTCCTGCCCCAGCTGCCTCTGGGGGCTCACTGCACAGTCCCACTGCTCCAAAGGGGATCCCAGCTCCAGAGCTGACCCATGGATCGGGATCCACCCCAGGACCTGTTGGGGCAACGGAGCCTCGCCAGGATGGGCACATTATTCCCTCCATGCGCCAGGGGCTCATCCCAAAGGACACAGCCCGTGGCAACTGAACCTGGGCCTGGCAAGCGACCCACTGGAAAACAAGGGAGGGAAACAAAGCAACGAGGGGGAAAGAGAAGGAACCGGCCACTCCACAAGGAAGAGCGGAGCGTGCCAAGAAGGCCAGAGCAGGGAAGGGAACATGGAGCCGAGGCAGGAACAACAATGGGATCAGGCTCCCAGCACATCCCAGTTCAGCCATGAGCAACCACATTTCATCCAACAGAGGCCAAGTTCTCTTCCCAACCACTTTTCCACCCTGGTGGGAAGGAGAGTGATTCACAGCCATGCGGTGTCCACAAGGATCCGGAAAAGGTCTGGGATCCATAGGCCAGAGCCACTGCCATGAGCCTGCTCCAAGGATGGTGAGGGACATTCCAAGGTCCTTGCTGGGGTGGCAGTGGGAATCTAAGGCATGGCACAACACAATTCCCAGGCTATCCAGCTTGGCACCCACAGTGTGCACTGGAGGATGCACAACTGCCCCAGGACAGGGATCTGTGCCATTCCAGAGCTGGCTAGGATGGTATGGAGCCAGGCTGGGAGAGCTGGGATTGTTTAGGCTGGAGATGGGAAACCTCCAGGGAGACCTCTGGAGCCCCTTCCAGCGCCTAAAGCGACTCCAGAGGAGCTGGAGAGGGACTTTGACAGAGGGCCTGGAGTGACAGGACAAGGGGGAATGGCTTCCCACCGCCAGAGAACAGGGTCAGACGGGATGTTGGGAAGGAATTCCTCCCTGTGAGGGTGCTGAGGCCCCGGGACGGGTTTCCCAGGGAAGCTGTGGCTGCCCCATCCCTGGCAGCGTCCAAGGCCAGGCTGGCCGGGGCTGGGAGCGACCCGGGCTAGCGGGAGGTGTCCGTGCCCATGGCAGGGGGTGGCACTGGATGAGCCTGGAGCTCCCTTCCCTCCCAGCCCATCCCAAGGCTGATCCCGGAGCGGGTCGGCGCTGCCCCCGTTACCTTCAAAGAAGCGCTGCAGAGCCTCCGTCTCGTCCACCACCTCCATGGCTGGGCCATGCACGGGCCGGCCCCGGCTCACTCCGTGCGGCTGCAGGGGGGCATCGCCCCGGCCCGGGCGGCCCCGCCGCGACCCCCGAGCCCCGTCCGAGCTCCGTGCGAGCGCCGCTCTCAGCGCCGGGCTCCCGCTGCCCAGCGCGGCCGCCCGATGCCCATCGGCGTCCGCCGAGCGCTGCCCCGGACTCCTGGGGCTGCTGCGGCCGCTCCTCCCTCCTTCCCCGCTTCCCTCCCTCTTTCCCCCTGTGCCTGCCCTTCCCCGCCCGCCGCTCCTCCTCCGCCCCGCACCGCGATCGGGGCACCCCCGCCGGGAGGCTTCGGCGACGCCGCCGAGTCGCGAGGTTGCCGAAAGTCACCTAAAAACACTCGCCAGGCACCGGGCGGAACCTGCGAACTGAAAAATCCGATCAGGGAGCGCTAAAAAGCGGCCACAAGCTGCCAAAAAATAGCCCCAAGTCACAAGCCACTGAAGTCCCAAAAGCAGCCATCAAAACCCAGCCACTAAAGCCTCAAAACCCAGCCACGAAAGCCCCCCAAAACCCAGCCACTAAAGGCCCCCAAAACCCAGCCACTAAAGCCCCCCAAAATGCAGCCCCTAAAGCCCCCAAAATCGGCCACTACAGCCCCAAAAACCATCCACTAAAGCCCCCAAAAACCAGTCACTAAAGCCCCCCAAACCCAGCCACTAAAGACCCCCAAAACCAGCCCCTAAAGCCCCCAAAAACCGGCCACTAAAGCCCCCCAAAACTGGCCACGAAAGCCCCAAAAACCGGCCACTAAACCCCCAAGTCACAAGTCACTAAAGCCTCTCAAAATCCAGCCACTAAAGCCCCCAAAACCCCAGCCACTAAAGCCCCAAAACCCAGCCACTAAAGCCCCAAAAACCAGCCACTAAGGCCCCCCAAATCCCAGCCCCTAAAGCCCCAAAAACCAGCCACTAAGGCCCCCAAAACCCAGCCCCTAAAGCCCCCAAAAACCCAGCCACTAAAGCCTCTCAAAATCCAGCCACTAAAGCCCCCAAAACCCAGCCACTAAAGCCCCAAAAACCCAGCCACTAAAGACCCCCAAAACCAGCCCCTAAAGCCCCCCAAAATGGCCACGAAAACCCCAAAAACCGGCCACTAAACCCCCAAGTCACAAGTCACTAAAGCCTCTCAAAATCCAGCCACTAAAGCCCCCAAAACCCCAGCCACTAAAGCCCCAAAACCCAGCCACTAAGGCCCCCCAAATCCCAGCCCCTAAAGCCCCCCAAAACCCAGCCACTAAAGCCTCTCAAAACCCAGCCACTAAAGCCCCCAAAACCCAGCCACTAAAGCCCCCAAAACCCAGCCACTAAAGCCTCTCAAAACCCAGCCACTAAAGCACCCCAAATCCCAGCCCCCAAAGCCCCCAAAATCGGCCAGTACAGCCCCAAAACCAAACCACTAAAGCCCCCAAAAACTAGTCACTAAAGCCCCCTAAAATCCAGCCACTAAAGCCCCAAAACCCAGCCAATAAGCCCCCAAAACCCAGCCAATAAGCCCCCCAAAAACTAGCCACTAAAGACCCAAAACCCCAGCCACTAAAGCTCCAAAACCCAGCCACTAAAGACCCCCAAAAACTGGCCACTAAAGACCCCCAAAAACCGGCTACTCAAGCCCCCAAAACCAGCCACTAAAGGCCCAAAAACCAGCCACTAAAGGCCCCCAAAATCGGCTACTACAGGCCCAAAACCCAGCCACTAAATCCCCCAAAAACCAGCTACTAAAGCCCCAAAACCCAGCCACTAAAGCCCCTCAAAAACCACCCACTAAAGCCCCCAAAACCCAGCCACTACAGCTCCCAAAACCCAGCCACTAAAGCTCCCCAAACCCAGCTACTAAAGCCCCAAAAAACAGCCACTACAGCCCTCAAAAACCAGCCAATAAGCCCCTAAAAACCAGCCACTAAAGCTCCCAAAACCCAGTCACTACAGCCCCCCAAACCCAGCCACTAAAGCCCCAAAAACGGGCTACTAGTGCCCCCCAAACCCAGCCCCCAAAGCCCCCCAAAACCAGCCACGAAAGCCCCAAAAAACCAGCCACTAAACCCCCAAATCACAAGCCACTAAAGCCCCAAAAACCAGCCACTAAAGCCCCAAAAACCCAGCCACTAAAGCCCCCAAAAACCAGCCACTAAAGCCCCCCAAAATCCAGCCACTAAAGCCCCCCAAACCCAGCTACTAAAGTTGTAAAACTCAGCCCCTAGAGCCCCCAAAACTAGTCACTAAAGCCCCCCAAAACCCAGCCACTAAAGCCTCCAAAACCCAGCCACTAAAGCCCCCAAAAACTGGCTACTAAAGCATCAAAACTCTGTACAGAAAGCCCCCCAAAAAAGGAGCAAAAATCACCAGAAAACAAAACAAAAAAGCAGGCACAAGCTTCCAGAATTTGTCCACCAAACTGCAAAAACAGCCACAAATAACTAAAATTTGCCCACAAGGCACCAAAACCCCTCACAAAACAGTAAAATTTGTGCACTAAGTGCCAAAATCCCTCACAAAGCACCAATCCTCCCTCACAAAGCACCAAAATTTGTGCACAAAGCACCAAAATTCCTCTCAAAACACCAAAATCTGCCACAAAACAAAGCCACAAGGCACCAAAAAATCAGTCAAAAGCTGCCAAAATCCACCCACAACCCACTGGGAAAAAGCATTGACACAGCACCAAAATCCAGCCACAAAGCACTAAGAAAAAAAAGGGCTCCAAGCCACTGAAAATGCAGCCACAAGCTACCAAAATCTGTCCATAAACCACAAAACCATTAAAAAAATCCAGCCACAATGTACCAAAACCTATTCACAGAGCACAAAAAAACACTCACAAAGCACCAAAATTTGTGCACAAAGCACCAAAATCTCTCACAAAGTCACAAGGCACCAAAAAAAAAAAAAAAATACAGCCAGAAGTCACCAAAATCTGGCCAGAAATCACTGAAAAACACCTTCAAAGCATCAAAATCTCTCCCCAAAGCACCCAAATCTGTCTCCAAAGTCATAAAGTGCCAAAAAAGAACCACAAACCTTCAAAAATCCAGCCACAAATGGCCAAAATCTATCCAGAAACTACGAAAACCCAGCCATAAAACACTGAACCCGCCACAAATTACAAAAATGCAGCCACAAATCAGCAAACCTGTTCATAAAACCAGCCCTGAGGCACAAAATCCAACCACAAACCACCAAAATCCTCCTAGAAATTCCAAAACCAGCCACAAATCACCGGAATCTTGTTTTTTAAAAAGACACAAATCACTGAAATCCAGGCACAAATTACAAAACCAGGAAATCCCCAAAATCCAGCCTCACGTTCCAGCCACAGGCCACAAAACCAACTGCAAAATCATCAAAATCCAGCTGCAGATCACCCTAAAACAGCCCCAAATTATCAAAATCCAACCTCAAATCACCGAAATCCAGCCCCAAATCACCCTACACACCAAATCCAGCCCTAAGTCATCAAAACCCAGTCACAAATCCAGCCCCAAATCACTAGAATACAGCCTTAAATCCACCAAAAATTAGCCCTCAAATCACCCAAATCCAGTTCCAAATCAGACTAAACCAGCCCCAAATCACCCTAACACCATCAAACCAGCCCTAAACACCAAATTCAGCTGCAATTCACCCAAATCCAGCCCCACGTCACCCTAAATCAGCCCCAAACACTAAATCCAGCTGCAAATCACCCTAAACCATCCCCAAGCACCAAATTCAGCCCTGCAGCATCAAGACCCAGCTGCACACCACCAAAATCCATCCTCAAATCACCCTAAATCAGCCCCACCCAGCAAATCCAGCCCCAAATCATCCAAATTCAGCCCCAATTCACCCTAAACCAGCACCAAGCACCAAATTCAGCCCTGCAGCATCAAAACCCAGCTGCACACCACCAAAATCCATCCTCTAATCACCCTAAATCAGCCCCAACCAGCAAATCCAGCCCTAAATCAACCAAATCCGGCCCCAAACCATGCAAATCCAGCTCCAAGTCACCTTAAACCAGCCCCAAACACCAAATCCAGCTGCAAATCACCCTAAACCATCCCCAAGCACCAAATTCAGCCCACGCAGCATCAAGACCCAGCTGCACACCACCAAAATCCATCCTCAAATCACCCTAAATCAGCCCCAACCAGCAAATCCAGCCCCAAATCATCCGAATTCAGCTGGAAATCAACCAAATCCAGCCCCAGATCTCCCTAAACCAGCCCCAAGCACCAAATCCAGCCCCAAATCACCCAAACCCAGCTGGAAATCATCCAAATCCAGCCCCAAATCCCCCAAACACAGCCCCAAATCCCACCCCAGACCCCAACCCCTGCCCCTCAGGGGAAGGCCCAGCTGTGGTTTGTTCCCCCCAGATGTTCCCACAATCCCCAATAACCCTCCCCCCCCCACACACACACACTCACCCCTCCCACCCCATAATGACTCCAATCAAATAAATAAGGGCCCGCTGGGAATAATGTCCATGAAGTTCCGAGTTCTCGGAGCGCCGGGGCCCTGCCAGCCCCAAACTGTGGGGCCTTTCTGCTGCAGGCCAGCCAGGGCACAATGAGGGATTGTCCAGCCCCACATCCCAATTGAGAAGGGCAGATTCTCCGGGATATATAAATATATTTATCCCGCTCCCACAGCTGTGCAGTGACCAATTCTTCTCCCGGGAGAGGAGGGGGATTGAGGATTGGGGACAGTAATGGGTCTATTATTTCGGGATGGAGAGAACGAGCCCTTTTTTCTCCTCTCTCTCCACATTAAGACAATTGTTATTCCCTGCTCCCCTTGTTCCTGCTCTCAGCCCCCCGTTTCGGGCACAAGCTGCGTGGGAAGGAAAGGAAATTAAGGGAAAATGGATTTTTCCCTGGAAGCCGAGCGCCAGCCCAGCCTAAACCCTGTTAGATATTGGTCTGTAATATTTTACTTAAATAAAGACTAAACCCAGCACTAAAGTCAAAATTGGATTGGATGATCCTTGGGGGCCTTTTTCAGCTC